ATACAAAAAATTCCATTGATTCTTGAAGTTAATCTATCGTAAAAATACTATAAATCATGATAATTGACAACATAAAATATGTTTTGAAAAAGATACAAAAAATTCCATTGATTCTTGAAGTTAATCTATCGTAAAAATACTATAAATCATGATAATTGACAACATAAAATATGTTTTGAAAAAGATACAAAAAATTCCATTGATTCTTGAAGTTAATCTATCGTAAAAATACTATAAATCATGATAATTGACAACATAAAATATGTTTTGAAAAAGATACAAAAAATTCCATTGATTCTTGAAGTTAATCTATCGTAAAAATACTATAAATCATGATAATTGACAACATAAAATATTTCAAAAATAAATACATTTAAAAAAATTCGATTGATTCTTGAAATTAATCTATCGTTAAAAATTATGTATAAAATACAATAAATCGTGATAATTGACAACTTAAAATATTTATTAAAAAAACAGAAAAAAACTTGACTAATTCTTAAAATTAAATCGTGATAATTGACAACATAAAATTGTTCAAAAATGTTGTATGTGGGTAGTCTTATTGTGCCTTGAATAGCGTCAAAGAAAGTACAGGTTTGTGATAAAAAAACTTATTCCTTTATCCACGCAAACAATCGCTTCAAAAATTTCGTCATTAGCCCCAAAACATACCATTTATGTTATTGGGCCCGTACATAGCATGGGCAACAAAATCTAGTCATAAAATAAAGTAGACAATTTTCCTAAAACGTTAAAAGCCATAAAATACTTCAACTCTTTAAATAACAATAATTAAATGTGAAATGTGATAGTAACCTGCATTTTCCCTATCTTATCCTATAAAATATCCTTTTTTCCTTTGCCACTATTAATCTCAATGACTCTTTTTACATATTGATGAACTTTAAACTAAGTACTCATTCATATATAACATATTCACCTATCTAGTTCCGTTCGGTATAATTAAAGTTTGTGCATTCACTTTTTGGTTCGAATTTAAATTTAGTCGGACTTAACAAAAAAGTTAGACTATATGTTATTATAAGTTGTAATTTAACTTTATTTTAAGAATAGTTTTTTAAAAATATTTTAAGTAAAAATCAGCAACTGTTATTTATGATGTTATTTTAAAAGGGAAAAAAGTCAAAATATACCCATGTGTTGTATGATTTAGAACAATTTTTTTCTTTTAACTAAAGTATTCTATATTGTAGGGTTGGTACTTGTTATTAATGGCTATGCAACTCAACCTAATCCTAAATTTGCATCATTAATTAATCCCTCTACAACAAGCAACTGTGACTCTCTATAAAAGTACGTACGAATTCATACATCTTAATTAATTAACGCAGTATTTCTTATGAAACTCTTTCTAGTTATT